CATTTTGAACAATGTTTATAATGATCGAATTTAAAAAACAAAAAAACACGAAGATGAGTCGAGGATTAAAAGGAAAAAAACAAACAAAAAAAATCGTGTGATTGAGCTTTTTACAGTGTAGTGAGTTAGTGCAAAACTGTGCGTCTGCGTGGAGAGCGAGCTTTCCACACGAGTGAGGAGGGCGAGGACGGGGTGAGTCGCGTGCGTGAGAGGGTGGGGGTGGGTGAGCACTCCATGAACAGGAAGCAGAGGTACACACTAAACAAGAAGGGAGAGTCCGAGCTCCCATGTTGTACATTTCTTTTTTCTCCGTCTCTGCTTGAAGTGATGTAAATAGTCCCCCTGCAGCTGGAGGCCGGCGGCTCTTAAAGGGACACTCCTGCTTTTTTTTTTCTTTTTCATCCCTAAACTCGTCAGCGTTGAAGGTCTCGTATCAGAACGGTCCACGAAGCTCAGTTTGTGCATTTTTAGACAAAAACATTTACAAGTCTTGGTTTTCTCTTATTGCATTTGCTGCTTTTTTTTCCTATAAACTTCACACTAAACTGAGCAGGTTTGATATTTAATTCTTTGCACAAAATAAATCACATTAATGCAACAGTAAGGATATAAATCAACATTTTTATTATGCGTTTTAAATCAGCTCGAACTCGATTTCTAATGCCAAGAAAAAGCCAAATGTGACTCAAGATTAAATTTAAAAAAATGGAAAAATAAAAACTAAAAGGGACCAATTAGTTATTTCCTTATTAAATCCCACCAGAACTCACTGAGTCCTTAATTAGCCTTTTCTCCAACTCTCTAAGTTCAATTAAATCCATCCTAAAAGTTACTGAAAGTACTAAGGTACTAAAAAGAAAATGATTGTTAATTCAACAAGACAAAAGCTATAAAAGGACCTGTATCAGTAAAACCCATTCAGATGTTTTGCTCACGTTCGATAAGAGATTATTTTTTTTAAATAGAACAAAGGAGAAGAAATGTTTCTCTTTGTCATAAAATAAAATGTCTTTGTTTTCCACGTGGTTATTTTTGTCCAGGAGCTAGTAGATTATTTGTTGAATAAAATCCTTTAGATATAGAGAACAGCCAGCAGCAGCCACGTGAAGCAGCTCATGGGGGGGTTTTAGTGTGAGAATAACTCAGAAATGCCCGTTTTGAATTCATCCAGTCAAAGGAGAAGTCGGCCAGCTGAGGAGTGAGTTATAAAAGCAGCAGGTTCACTGAAAATCAGGAACCCACACGTTTAAAATAATGTTCAGAAACATTCACCAACTGCTAGATGATGGAGAAAATAAAAAGTGTCAGTTTTCACCTGCAGCTCATAACATCCAAACAACTGCTAATCAATCCAGCTGTTTATTTATTTTTTTATTTTTTAGCTGAAGCTGACAGAAAAAGCAACATTTCAGTTTTCTCCTCAGTCCAACTGTTCTTTTTCCTGATTGGATGAGCATTAAACTCTTTCAGCGTTTTACCTGCTCTTTGTTAAAGTGATAAAACACTGGGTTTGGGGGGTGGGGGGGCAGCAGGAGTTCCCGTTAAGTCTCTGTTTGGCCCACAGCTTGCAGGTGTCACACCTGCTGCTTGCCCACGTGTAAGCATCATGGTCGGGGCCACGTCCCCCCCTCTGGTAGGCTCGGCGCGGCGTCCGCCATTTTGTTTACACTCTGGAATTCCTCGGACCAGTTTTGGGACGGACCCCCCTCCCGGTTTAGATCCTGCAGCAGAGTCCTTTTGGTGTGTGTGTGTGTGATTTGTGTGTGCGTGGAGTGGCTCTCTGTCGCCTGGTGCGTGTGCATTTGTGTGTGCGTGATGTTTCTTGGTGAACCTGCGATAGAGCTCAAACAGCCAAGGTGTGTGATTGTGTGTGTGTGATTGTGTGTGCGTGTGTTGAAGACCGATTTCAAAGAATCCTACAGGAAGCCAGCGTGGAGACATCGGATCGCCTTGAAGGAGCCCTGATCAGTCCGAACCGCCTGAAAAACCTCAGTAGAAGTGCGAACAGTGTAAAGGAGTGTTTTAGCAACGTGTGTTACACTGTAAGGTGTTGCTGCTAACTGTTTGTGACAACTAGCTCATCTCTAACCATGTCAGCACTCACGGATGTTCCTACGTTCTGGTTTGTGTCCCTGATGTGAATGTGCTGGTTTCATAGAGTGAATAGCTGTTTGAGTTGTTTGGATGTCTGCTACATATAGTGTAAGCATTGTGACTGCAAATAAACCTCATTGATTTTTACAGCACTGCTTCCTGTTCTCTTCTCTACCCAACTTTATTCACTTTGTTGAGTTGTAAAGACTTTTGTCGGCATATTCTACAAGATGGGAACCTCCCAGGTGTAAAATTCAGGTAAGTACAACTAGGCCTGTCACAATAAAAAATTAATTAATTGTATGATAAATTACATTGAGGAAGATCAATTAAAATTAAGATTTTTTTTTTTTTTTGCTTTTTTCTTCTTGTCTCTCTTCTACTTAGCATAGAGAGTAGTGACCTCTGGTGCCAGGTGCATGGTCTCTAACCATTAACATGAAAGTCAGTGAACAGGCCTTTATCAGAGAAGCATCTTCAGTTTTCTGACGCCTTGGGATTGCTGACAGTTTTTTCTTTTTACACTAAATTTGAATGTAGACGTCCGTAAACATGGGTTGTTATATCATATTAGTTTGAACTGGTCTCCAACAATATTATCCTTTATCGCAATCATTTCTGAGACAATTTGTGACCCATCGTATTGAAATGAGGATTAAGTCAAATTTGGTTAAAATGATATAATCACATTTTGGCTTTAAAAGCTACATTTTGATACCTGGATCATTCTGATTTCATAAACAGAACCAGAGATATACCCTAATTTGTCTTGTTGGTTACGATAATGCATTAATATTTGGTCTGAATCCTACTTTTATGTAATTTTAATGAGGAACGTTTAATTTCATTATGTCTCAAATAGTACTTAAATATTGACATTTCCCAGCTGGAAAGAAAAACTTTGCTAGCTCAGGGAAAATCTCAAAATTTAAATAATCAGTTTTTTTGTTGCTACTGTTCAAAAAAGTGCTTCAAAAAATGATTTATTATATTTCACAGTTCATTCAAGTGAAACACTGATAAGTCATTTGTTATATTTTGAAGAAATGTTTGCCTGTTTCTCCATATCCCACTTTTAGACTTACTGTAATCCTTGTTTCGATGTGATTGACAGGCCTAAGTATAACTTTAGATGTGTATTTTGGTGGAAAGACCTCAGCGATGAACTTAGAGAAATTGTCGCTTCTTATTGATCTGGGATCTGCCACTCTTAGACCGTCCTTCCACAACCAGGCAGGTTAGAGGAAGACTTCTTTCAGTCTTAACATAACTGGTTATCTCACCAAGACTGAAAACAAACATTTCTTTAAAAAAAAAATCAGCTTGCATTAGAAAAGGATTGAACAAGTGTGATCTGGAAGCTTCCCCAGAGAAAACATGAGGGCATTAATTTGGTTCACAAAAGTACATTTGAATGAAACAAAATACTTCCAGAGTGAAGTTTTATGAAGGTAGGTTTGGTTTTTACCATGACTATAAACTGAGCCTTAAAGTCGAGGCTTTTCTTGAACTTTAGTGACTCTTCATCCTGCAGTTTGGCATTTAGACAGGAGACATTTTCATTGGTTGACACCTCTAAGTCTATCACCAACTAACCCAACAGGCATGTTTTTGGGCTACAGAAGTAAACCAGGGAAAACCTTCAACCAATAAACTACTTTAGTACTGTAACACAGTGAAATGACATGAAAATAGACGGGGGAAAACCCCTCAGAGGAACTTCATTTTATAAAAAACCTTCAACACTGACGAAAAAACTTTATTTTCTAATAATTGTATTTGTTCTGCATGATTGAAGGTTAAACATGTATACTGATAAAATATTTTTTAAAGGGAGGAGTTTAAAAAGAGATGATCCGGACATCAAGAAAACAATTCAACAATCCTTCAGAGTTGACTCCTCGTCCTGGTGAAACTTTCTGGGAGATAAAAGTGAAATTGGTTCTGTAAAAGTCCAGAGGTGAACTGTTGGACCTGTTTGTTTAAACAACCACTGCAAACAGGCACAATGGAAAAAAACTGAGGCTTTGCAGACTGACAGTTCATCTCAGAGCAGATCCTAACTGGTTGATCCAGAGGTTAGCTCTTTGAGCCTTTGCTCTTATACACGGTGTCGTTGAAGCCTTCTCTGTTGCGGGCAATCTCAACGGCAAAAAACTGGACCCTGGTGGCTAAAAACAGGAAAAAAACAACATTTAGTCGAAGCTTCTGTTGATGTTTGCTTCACTCTGAGACACAAACTCACCAAATATGGTGTTTTCCTCCGTGTAGTCTTTCTCACAGTCCAGACGCAGCAGCGTGCCGTAGTTAAAATCTTCCACCAGTCCCTCAAACTGGTTACAGAATGGACGCCACCTCTACACACACACAGTTCAAAAGCTGTTCATTTTGGACAGTATCACTGATCTCCATGTAGAGGACAGAAAAACAAACTGGATTTTATAAACATGAAGGAGAAATTGTGACGGACAGACCTCTTTGGCCTGGTCGGACTTCAGATCTTCTTCTTTCAGCTGCTTTATGTCGAGCTCTTTGAAGGTTTCTCTGAAGCTCGAGTAGATTTGATCATCCAACTTTGTCAGCTTCAAAAACTTTGGATCGACTGATGAAATGAGCTGAAAGCAGAACATCAAAAGTTCATACTTTCCGCTTCAGTCAGCCTGTGGCTGCATAATCATTACTGACATATAGTTATTGGAAAAAAAAAATCAACCAAAACCTTTATTAATTCTAAGTTTGAGTCTTCACCACCTCCTGACGTTAGGTAAATACAGCCTCGGGTCAACACATTTACAACAGATTACACTGACTTATTTGCCCTAGGTTTGAGCTGAAGAAAACTATATTCCAATAAATAAAATAACATCAGCCCCTTCAAAAAGTAGCAGCATTGAGTCCCAGTAAACATCTGTCTGACTTCATCACCTTGTTGTTGCACCAGTTTCTGCACAACTTCAGGTTGGGCTTTAGACTTTAACTAAGCCATTACCACCCATCTGTTTTTCCCTAATGGCCTCACATTGGACTCAATACAACTTCAGTCTACAAAAGGAGGAAACTCAACTCAGTAACAAAGGTCTGTGGCTGCACAAATATCCCAATCACCCCCCCAGCCTTTGTTAAATATACATGGACAATGTAAGTGTCATGTGTTTCAACATTTTAAGACTTGGTAAAGACCTGGGGTCTCATTTATAAAGGAAACCATACTAAAAGTGAACGTACGGCCAAAAGGCGGAAATGGCGTACGCCAAAAAAAAATTCAGATTTATAAAACCTGCACGTACGCACGTTTCTGCGCATCTTTCATTTATAAATCACAGCCGCACGCCAGAGTTTGCGCACGAGGTCCCGCCTCAGGTTCTACCCTCTACACGCCCACACTCAACCATAAACAGTCAATGTAAAGTACCTCATGAATGTTAAGATGTATTTAAATCAGTCAGCTGATCAATGACAACAAAAGTGATTGGTTCAGACAGGCTCCTTTGTGTGTCTGGAGGATGACAGGTGCTCACGTGAACAGAATGTCTAGCTGACACAGATTTTCCCTCATTTTGCTTTAGAGTAATCTAACGATTTTTATAAAAAACAAAAATAAAAAACCTCAGCTTCAAATTAATTTTCCATCAGAGCCTATAGGACGATAAAAAGAATAAAAATTAAATAAAATAAGTCAGGTAAAATTAGGAATAAGTCCCCCGCTCTTCTCCTCGTCCTCTCCCCCTCCTGCCTGCTCTGTTACCCGCGGCAGACCCCCGCCCCGCGCACACACACACACCGCGCGCGTGACAAACACGGACTGGATCCAAAGCTTTTGCTGTCCTGCTGTTCTTATCAGGGAGGGGTCTGTGTGGGTCGGGGTTGTCTGAGGAGGAAGCAGATGAATGGAGTTGCGCACGGGAACTTTTATTAAAGTCTGACTCTAAAGGTAAATTAAATATCTGACGATGATCATTACACAGTGTGGCTCTAATTCTTCACTTCACCATCTGTGTCGCAGTTTCACGTCTCCAAAATGAGCGTACGCATGGGTCAGAGCTGTGAGGCACCGCACATTTTCACGTCAAGTTTGGATTTTATAAATCACAACCTTAGCGTAAAAAGTGGCGTACGCAAGTTTCTGGGCTCAAATTGTGCGTACGCCAGTTTTATAAATCCGACCCCAGATGATTTTTATTATTTGTAGTTATGAATAAGAAGAAAATATCAACTTTTTAAGAAGGGCTGTTTGTGTACATATGACACAACCAGCCTGAAATAGATCCAGAATATTTTAATAGACTAGTTAAAATAAAGTTGGCGTTTATTGTTTTTTAGAAGTTTCGTGTTCAGACTAGTTTCTGCACTTATTTGAGTGTTGTTTATAGGCCTGTCGCGATAGACAATAAATCAATTAATCGCACGATAACTTTTTTTGAGGTCGTTAAAAAAATGAGGACGATAAGTTTCATTTTCCTGCTTGTTTTACTTCGTCTCTCTCCCTCTCTGTGCTCCGCTACACAGGGGCTCAGCTGACCCCTCCCCTCCTGTTTTCTTAGTGTGGGAGGAGTGAACTCTCGCGTTAGCGTGAGAGCTCGTAGCAATAACAAACTAAAGAAACGTGTCGGAGCACTAGAGCCTGAATTTCGCTGTGGGGAGACACAGAGAGAGGAGGAGAAGGGGTGGGGGCTGAAACTCCCCCAGACCTGCGACAAATTCATCAAGACTTTACCTGTAGCTCCCAAAAATAACAGGAAACTTAAACGCACCATCTGTGTTTTAACAAAACACCCCAAAAAACCTGTAACTGTCCCAACAACTCATGAGGAAAACTCTGAACTGTCTGATTTCCTCCCCGCAGCGCTCTGACTGTCCCCTCCTCACACACACACACACACACGTTTGTTCTTCTATCCTCATGGGGACTTTGTACTGACTTTCATTCATTTACCAGTATTTTCTATTACCATTTGACCCTAAACCTAGCCTACACTTTACATGGGATGTGAACTGGGCTTATGTCCCCATAAGAAACAGTGGGTCCTCACCAGGCTGTGTAGTTTGCTTCATCTCTAAAGACATGCTGCTCTTTAATATTGTTTATTTACTGTCTTAGTTGTGTGTGGTGTTTAATTTACATTTTGTTCTTTGTTTTTTTATTCAAGTGCATTTTTTGTTAGAGACAGAGTCCACTTTGTTAAGCATTCTTTTAAAAATTAAAGTTTTATTGATTTATTACACTTACATATTACACTTTTATAATTATTAGTTGTAAAACGGTCACCAGGCAATATTACCGCTTATCGCAATAATTTGTGAGACAATTAATCGCCCAGCAAAATTTGTTATCGTGACAGGCCTATGTGTTTTGTTTGTGTTTGAAGGGAGGAAAAAAGCCAAAACAAACAGATACTTTACATTGAAGTACACTTCGGCATGGTTGTAGGCCTTCATCGCCCACATAACTTCAAGCCGCGGCTGAAACAAAAAAAAAAAAAAAAAAAAACCACACAAAGAGTTATTAGATTTATTCCAAAATAAGCCCTTTGTGTCACTACAACACACACTTCCTGTGTACATAAACTGATAAATGATGCTTGAAAGTTGTTTTTTTTTTTTATATTTAACATTGAATTCTCTCGCTCATTTTTTTTTCTGTTTAATGTGTATTCACACACCTCACACTTTCAAAAGTCATAATAGAGATGTGCCCTCACATCATTTCCGTAGGCTTCTGCAGGCAGAGACAGAGCGTGTGCAGCTGCTGAGGCTCCTTCCACTCCCTGTGAACAAACAAAGTCATGTTATAGAGCCAGCTATGTTGTAATAGCAAAAATCTTATAACTACAGAGACTTTGGATCAGTGTTTTAACGTGTCGTCTCATATAGCAGGTCTCACAGCTACTGGGACTGATGGGGAAATAAAAATCATTTTGCATTTTGATGTAGAGACCTGTCCCGACGCCCATGGGTAGGTTAGGAGGCTACTGTTTATTTGCTACTGTTTATTTGCTATCTTGTTTCTACACGTGTGTACTTTTCACAGGTAGCCACCGTTAGCTCGGTGGCTACCTCTCGCATTTTTACAGTAAAACAGACTGTTATGAAGTTTATCGTCAGGAACTTGTGTGGGACTCTAAAGCAGGAAGCAAGTTACCCCCAGAAATCTAACAAAAAGTCAATGTATACGCATTAGTTTATATTTAAAGTCCTACCAAAGCGGCCAGCCCGTCGTCCGACGCCATTTTCGCAAACGAAAATCGTCTATAGTGTAGATAGATCACCCGCAAGCATGTTCACACAGACTAAAGATACTGAGAGTTTTTTAACTTCAATAAATTTGAAGTGATGAATTAGCTTTCTGCCTATTTATTATGTGTCGTAAACATTTTTAAAACGGATATCTTAAATTCGTTGTGATTCATGAGCGCTAATTTGGGAAACTCTTTCAAAGACAGAGTGGGCTATCTTCGTGTTTACAAGTTTTTGTGACAATCTTTGACATCACCTACGTCACGTTTATTAAAGGGCCAGTGACACAAACGATCTCATTCCTGCAAATTTACACTGAAATACATAAAATTGGTAAATTAATCGAGTCGTTCTGCTTTGTCTCAGCTTAGATGACCCACTTTGGTGAAAAATAAATCCAGCTAAAATACTACTACTACTACTACTACTACTACTACTACTA